CAATACTCACCAATAAATAATCATTAATACTAGTATGAATTTCCATCGCACAATGTTGCAACTTAACCTTAACCGGATGCACCTCATCCTTTTGTTGGGCAACTTCCTGCAATCGATTTAAAAGTTGCTTACAATTCTCGGCATCTTGAATAACACCGGTAGCGTGGTTAATATCGTTGTTAGAGGCGATCGATTCGGATGCCAAATTCTTAATAATATCCTGAGTTTGTAAAACCAAGCGATCAATCGAGTGTTGTTTTGAGCTTAATAAAAATCCTGGTTGCAACGACATATGCTTGTTGCGTTCGTGTTTACTACTAGGCGAAACGTTCCTATTTAATAAATCCTGTATTTTCCGCATCACTATATCCGCTTTTTCGGCTGAAGAGGCTTTCATACACGGAGTTATATCGTTAATCGGAAATGGCATGTATTGTACGGTTCGATTACTCTCTAAAGCGTATGCTAAATCGTTATAACCTTGTAAAGTAATGTTATTTCGATCGTAAATGATTGTTTTTAATTTCGTGTTGATTTGTAGCGCTTTCGCTAAAAGCCTCGCCCCGGAATCTCCGATTAAATTTCCACTTATATCGATTGTTTCGAGACATTTATTATCACCGAGGGCGTTTAAGAAATTGTGAAGATCCGATTTTAAACGACAATCAGGCATGAGGAGTGTTTGTAGGAGGCATTCGTCGTCTTGGATGATTTGTACGACCGCATCCATAACCGTCACGATGTGTTTCGCTTTCATATTCATCATGTTTCTACCCATACTTAAATGTTTTAATGATTTATTTTTACTAATTGCTATTACAACGGCACCTAATTCTAAATCCATATCTAAAAAAAAGAAAAATTAGTTAAGAAATTGATTTAATTGAATTAGATAGATAGGGCTTACTATTATCAGAAATATCAAGACTAGATATACACCTGACTCCGTGCACGCACGATTCTAAAACGTGAGCACCATGGCTACCCAACGAATTATTACTAATATCTAATGTGATTTCTTTAGTAAATTCGTTACAAGCAAGACCAAGAAGTAAGTTTCTAAAAATTAATTGATTTTATTACAATTTCTTTTATGATTTGTATCAAAATTTACTTTAAAGCCTCTTGTGGTAATTTACAATGAGACATATTTAAATATTTCAAATTCATAGTTGCGCTAAAAAATTGTTTAAACGATAACGGAGCCTCTTTACATTTTTTGCTGCTAAACGGATTTCTCGAGATGTTTAAATCAACTAAATTGGTTGTACAACCTTTCACCAAAGCACCAAATAACTAAAAAAAATAAATTAATTAATTAATTAATACAATAAAAAGAAATTAGATATTTAATATTTACAGTTTCTAATAAAATATCAGTTGAAGAGAGATCGAGATGAGTTATGGCATTGGGATGACTCAAAAATGTATGTAAACTGCTAATATCATCTTTAAGATTGTTTCCTTTTAAATTTAAATAAGTAAGAGTCGTATACAAACTGCTACGGTTAATAAACGCTTGAGCCAAATAATTTACACCTTTCGAAGAGAGTCCTGTATGTGACATGTTGAGATGTGTTAATCCCTTATTTAATTTTACGATACAACCAGATAAATAATTAGCACCTAAAAGTAAAAGGATAATTAAAAAGATTTCAAATTACAGTAAAACCTCGATATAACGGAAAATACGGAGAAGGGATTGTCCGTTATTTGAAAATTTTTTAATTAAAACAGCGTTGCGTTCTCTTAACGCTGAATAACTAAACTAGAATTAACACTAGACCTAGAACTAGAAACATTCTGGTTTAGCCATGGTTAAGGCGGCTAAACCCGAATGTTTCTAGTTCTAAGTCTAGTGTTAGTTCTACTTTTAGTTCAATAAAAATATAGAATAATTTAACGCTGAATAACAATTAAAACTAGAACTAACACTAGATCTAGAACTAGAACGTTTCGGGCTTCTTCGTCTTCATGAGTAATATTTATTAAACCACGAAATCAATCTTTATCTCAACTGTATTTATTTATATTTATTATATTTGTGTTGGAAACCATAAAAGCTATAAAAATATCATCGTCTTCATTCTACATCCTGTAACTTTTACGTCACTGACTAAATTCTAACTTTAAAATAAAAAACCAGAAAGAAAACGATATCTTCAATCTGTATCTTTTATGGTTGGGTTCAACCCAACCCGTTCTTGAGATAAAAGAGATATTGTGTTAGAAACCATAAAATCTAGAAAAATGAGTCTCTTCATTCAACATCTTGTAACTTCTATGCCACTGACTAAATCCTAAGTTTGAGAACATTTGTAAATTCTCTGAAGTGTTTAACATAAAAATAGTACTCTTTATTCAAGGTTGTATCACCAACCGTTCTCGAGATAAAAGAGATATTGTGTTAGAAACCATAAAATCTAGAAAAATGAAAGTGTCTTCATTCTGCATCTTGTAACTTCTACGCCACTGAATAAATTCTAAATTTGAGAACATTTGTAGATTCTCTGAAGTGTTTTACATAAAAACGGTACTCTTTATTCAAGGTTGTATCATCAACCGTTCTCGAGATAAAAGAGATATTGTGTTAGAAACCATAAAATCTAGAAAAATGAGTCTCTTCATTCAACATTTTGTAACTTCTAAGCCACTGACTAAATCCTAAGTTTGAGAACATTTGTAGATTCTCTGAAGTGTTTAACATAAAAATGGTACTCTTTATTCAAGGTTGTATCACCAACCGTTCTCGAGATAAAAGAGATATTGTGTTAGAAACCATAAAATCTAGAAAAATGAAAGTATCTTCATTCTGCATCTTGTAACTTCTACACCACTGAATAAATTCTAAGTTGGAAATCATTTGTAGATTCTTTGAAGTGTTTTACATAAAAATGGTACTCTTTATTCAAGGTTGTATAACCAACCGTTCTCGAGATAAAAGAGCTATTGTGTTAGAAACCATAAAATCTAGAAAAATGAAAGTGTCTTCATTCTGCATCTTGTAACTTCTACGCCACTGAATAAATTCTAATTTTGAGAACACTTTTAGCTTGTCAGAAGTGTTTTATACAAAATTGGTATTCTTTATTAACAGCTGTTTCAACTGTTCTCGAGATCGACTTTAGAGACGGCTTAACCCGAATGATTCTAGTTCTATGTATAGTGAAATTGTAAAATTGTATACAATAAAAACATTATTAATGGTAATACTAGACAGTAAATTAAACTGGAACTCCCACATAGACAAGGTAAGGAAAAAGGCAGCAAAAACCCCCTTCATTGGACCCCAACCCGGTTGTGGGCTCCAAAAAAGCCAACTAAAACAAGAACTCAAAAGTTGGGAGACCTGAAAGGTAGCCTTACGCCGGAAAGAACTTCCAGGTCACAGACAAGCGAAGAGTATGATAATTCCGTCGCAAAACAAAACCAAAGCGGTTTTATTCCTCAGCAAAGGGGATCTAAGCTCGCGGGTTTCCTGGGTGGCCATCCGTCCCTAAAATACCACCTCGTCCAGATTGGACAAGCTGAGAATCAAGCTTGTCGACTTTGCAACGACGAGTCAGAAACGGCTGAACATATAACGTGTAATTGCAAATAAGCAAGATGCAAATTTTCGGTTCTCTTTTGACACCTACAGACATAAAGGAACAAGACATTGGGGCGGTGATTGGCCACAGGTGCATTTGGGGGCGATGAATAACTTTAAGAGGGCGGTGAAAGCAAAAAAGAAAGAAGAGAAGAAATTTAATTCTTTCTACAGATAATAATGACTCAACTAAAGAAAAAATTAATTTAAATATTTGAAATATGGCTTTATTGAGTCGCCTGTAAACAATACATTACCAATGTGCCTGATTTGCGAGAAAGCTTTATCAAACGAAGCTATGAAAAGCCTTCCAGACTACAAGAACATTTGGCTAAAATTCATGGTGATAAAAAAGATAAGGATTTATCTTATTTTCGAACACTAAAAGAAAAATTTATGAAACAACCGACATTGGCAAAACTCTTTTCAACTGCACCAGGTGGCGATGGCTTGCTTGCTTCTTACAATATTTCGTTAATGATTGCAAAATCGGGAAAACATCATACTATTGGTGAAGAAGCAGCTTCTGATATCAAGAAAATTTCGTTGAGGAATAATACACTGCAAAGAAGAATTGCTGAAATGGCTCTTTAAAAATATCTCGGTTTTCTATTCAACTTGATGAGTCAATTTTGTTAGGAAATGAACTTTACTTTTAGCATAGAATTATTATTTGCTAAATACTTGCAAATTAATACTAAAGGAGAATAAATATTTCATGCTTTGGATGAGTTTTAAAAAAAAAAAGAAATACCTCTTTCAATGCAGCTTTGTATTGAAAACGATGAAGAATTTAATTGTTTGCTGCTTCATACAGAAATTCTTCTGTACAGACGAAATTTTGGACGAGGGGAATTCAGCCAGTTCCCAAATTTATCAGGACCAGAAAAAAAGATGAAGACATACTTGCTTATTGTAAGCAATTTCAACAATTCTAGCTGCAAAAGGAGATCCCTATGGCTTATCCTGAAATATGGACTGTAATTCAAAAGTTCTTAATTGCATTTCCGTCATCATATTTAGTGAAACGTGGATTCAGTGCGGTAACCAATTTATTAACAAAAAATAGAAACCGATTTAAGAGTTATGATTTCGAATATTTTCACTTTTTTTGTATTACCGCTCTAATCTGAGTTCAATAAATAGTTTCAATATTTCAAACTTCTATGTTTCTAATTTACACCATTCTTTACTATATTTTACAAAAAAGGTAGAAACATTAATAATCTTTGCTTAATTGCTATTAAAAATAAAAAAAAATTAATTTACAGGGGGCGCTGAGTTATATTTTTTCTGGAAAGGGGGCGGTAGGCAAAATAAGTTTGGGAACCACTGGTATAGAGCAACTTGGGGAATAACTCGATTTAGATTCAGTCGACATGTGCTAATATTTATATTTAAATATAGGGTACCGTTATATCGAGGTTTTAATGTACATAATTGATTTTATAGGTTACCTTTATCTTCAATTGGATTATTTGAAAGATCAATAATACTTAAAGGAATAATAGCGTTTCCTTTAATAGCATTATGCAATTTATTCACAAAACACGACTTCAAACCTAAACTATCTAAATAAATCTCTTCCAAACTAAGCGATTTTTTGATCACTTGAAGCACCTTTTCGATGTTATCGTGAGATAATCGTACATGGTTAGCCCTAAGTTTTGTGAACCATGTATTGTATTCCAATGCGTTTATAATAGGCACTAAATCTCTGTTAAAAAAAAATAATTTGATCAATATTATTAAATCATAATTGAATATTTACTTTTGATCTAAATAATCAAAATCCTTAAGGCATAACTCCCTAGTGTTTAGAGAAAGATAAATATTGTCGACGTCCCAAGCGACTTCCTCTCGATACGGCATGTTGTGGTAATCGCACATGCAAGCATATTGATTTGAAAAACCTCCGCATGGGCCTACTTCCCTTATGTTACTTCCAACGGCTTCGATGTCTCTTAAAACTTGTAATCTCGATGTGGGTATTACATCAATCTAACAAAAAAAATGTTATGTCACTATTGAACATAATTAGACACTACTAAGCACCTATGTAGCTAAAATTATTTTACATCATAATTGCACTGTTGCGTTACATTCAATTAGTGATAAATCAAATTAAATAATTGGGCAAATAATTTGTTGCACATGAACACTGCTTATAAAGAAGCATACTTTCTTAATTAATTAATCCATCGATTGATTAAAAATTACTTAACTTAATATTTTAACTATCGGCGTTGGGGTATGGCTATACAAATTTTGTTTTTGAAGTGTCGCCTTCGGCTCGTGTGGAAATCCCACATACGCGTTAATGAAAAATCATAGTTTCCTCACTTGTACTGTAATATACTATTATTTTTGTTTAATTCGTGCATTTCAAGCGTGTCTTACGAAAGTAGTTTACAAGAATTCAAAGAATTTGATACTATTAATTGTTAATTTATTGTTATGAACAAATTATAAACACAAAATAATCAACATTTAATTGTTTTATCATTTCATATTTAAATGCAAATTTATAATAGTACATTTGTTCAAAATGTGAGGTTAAGTCGATGTGACGTTAAGTTTTTGACATAACATTATCTCGAACAATTTTTTGCTCGCTAAAGCTCGCATAAAAAGTGTCATTTCGCTATCTTGTATTAAAAATAACTATTTTCGTATGATTAAAGCATAAATTAATTTTCGTACAAAAATATGACGTTTCATAAAATTGACATTTAATTTTGACAAATTGTTGTGAAGTTGGTTACAGTTGGTGACATTGAATTTGTGTCACATTGACGTTTAAACTTTATTCAAAAATGTATTTAATAAAAATTTATGGAACTTATTTTTATATTAAATAGTAACATAAATCATAGTAACAAGTTTTTACGCCTTTTTGATAAAAATTAAAATGATTTTAATATGAAGTAAGGCGGATCTGTGCGGTTACGCCACGCAAACCTTTTCAAATGATTAAATTATAAATAATTTACCTTCCGAATAATATACTGTAAAGGAACAGTAGGAAATATGTTTCTTACTGCCGTAGCAAGCGCCGATATCATATTATCCACTTCAGTGCTACAGGAGGAGTCTTCGCCGGCCAAAAATGAGTAGATTTTATCATTAACCGTTATACTGAGTTGATTACCTCGTTTGCTTTCTAACGTTTGTACTTCCAAGTAATGGAAGTGGCAGTCAATCTACAAAAAAATTTTAAATTAAATAACTTATTTTGTTTGATTTAAAGTTTATTTACCCGAGTTGGCACCTTGGCAGTGAGTAGTAAGATTCGACATGGTGAAAAAACCTTGTAAAAAAAGAATAAAACATATTAACCCATTATTACATCAATCAGGCATTTCCAAAATTACATCAATATGACCTAACAATCCTAAGACAGAGATTTCATCATTTATTTTAATTACAATGTCCCAATATCTTTCTTTTATGAAATTAATTCATTTTAGTTTGAAAGTGAAACGTTTTAAAGCAATCCCTTTTTTCCGTGCATGGCGTCACTTTGCATTTTTCGCATCGCCACCTAACTCTCATGTGGCATTGACGACATCTCAAGGGATCGTTTATTTTAGGGTGCTGACCAACGGGATCTTCTATAATGTTTTTTGGTAGAGAACCTAATGGTGTAAACTAAAGGTAACCTAAAATCTATACACTCTTTAACTTAATGGTTCCTGAGTGCTAGATACTGTTGGCAAATGACCAATTACTGCTATGAGAAGACTAAAAACTGCTTGGAAAGAGGAAATATATATTCCAACAAGTTACCTACTGCTTCTAAAATGCTAGATACTGCAGAAAAAAACCACAACTTACTTGGAAAAGACTAGATACTGTTTTCAAAATAATACCTATTGCTTCCAGAANAAATTACTTAACTAAAAATTCTAACATTTTGAAATGATAAAATTATAAATAACTTACCTTCCGAATAATATATTGTAAAGGAACAGTAGGAAATATATTTCTTACTGCCGTAGCAAGCGCCGATATCATATTATCCACTTCAGTGCTACAGGAGGAGTCTTCGCCGGCCAAAAATGAGTAGATTTTATCATTAACTGTTATACTGAGTTGATTACCTCGCTTGCTTTCTAACGTTTGTACTTCCAGGTAATGGAAGTGGCAGTCAATCTACACAAAAATTTTATATTAAATAAATAATTTTGTTTGATTCAACTTTTATTTACCCGAGTTGGCACCTTGGCAGTGAGTAGTAAGATTCGACATGGTGAAAAAACCTTTTGAAACAAGAATAAAACAGATATTAACTACGTAAAAAATGTGGCATTTGCAAAAATTACATCAATATGACCTAACAATAATGGACTAAGACGGAGATTTCCGTCGTGAAAAATAATTTGGTTAAAACGCATATTTTCGGGTGAAATACGGTTGTTTCTTCAGTTTTCGACGCACAACGACTAAAATGTCGTTGTTTATAATCTTATTTACCCTCTTGTTTACCCTAACCCCCTCTTTAACTTATTCGTTCCTGAATGCTAGATACTATTGCCAAAAGACTAATTATTGCTATCAGAAGATTAAATACTGCTAGTAAAAGACTAAAAACTACTTGGAAAGAAGAAATACTATTTCAAAAAGTTACTTACTGCTTCTAAAATGCTAGATACTGCAGAAAAAGACCACAACTTACTAATACCTATTGCTTCCAGAATACTAAACACTGCTGTTAAAGGTTTTGACCTACTTCGACAGGCGAAATACTGCTTCCAAGACTACTTATTGCTTTCAAAGACTTTAATAATTGTTTGGAAAAGAGATATGCTTTCCAAAAAGCTACCCGCTTCCAGAATGTTAGATACTGCTGGAAAAGACTAATAACTGCTTGGAAAGAAGAGATATGCTTCCCAAAAAGGCTACTTAATGCTGCCAGAATGCTAAATACTACTGGAAAAGACTAATAACTATTTCGAAAGAAGAGATATGCTCTCCAAAAAAAGGTACCTACTGCTTCCAAAATGCTAGATACTGGTGGAAAAGATTACAATCTGCTTGGAGAAGACTACAAACAACTACAAACTGATTGGAAAGATGAGACACTGCTTCCATAAGACTACTTACTGCTTTCAGAGCGCTATATACTACTAGAAAAGATTACGACCTGCTTGGAGAAAACTAAATACTTCTGGGGGAATAAAAAAATAAATAAAATACTGCGGCCCTCTTTAAACGTTACATTCGGATCCACCTAATTCACTGATTTATTTAAGAATTTTGTGTAGAAATTCCACTTTGACTTAGGTTAATTAACATTTAAATCAGTACAAATTTCTCAAATGTCGGGTTGGGCATAGAGCAGAGGTTGGGTTGTAAATTCCGGGTTGGGTTCTTCAGACGCACGGCTAAACCAGATACTTTCTAGTTCTAGGTCTAGTGTTAGTTCTAGTTTTACACTAGCACAATCACTAGAACTAATACAAGACCTAGAATCATTCGGGGTTAGCCGTTTTGAGAGACGTGCGGCTAAACCTGAATGTTTCTAGTTCTAAATCTAGTGTTAGTTCTAGTTTTAAATGTATTTAGCCTTAAGGTGTGGTATATCTTTATTGAAAGCAAAGTAGAACTAACACTATACCTAGAACTAGAAACATTCGGGTTTAGCCGTGAGTCTCTTAAGGCGGCTAAACCTGAATGTTTCTAGTTCTAGGTCTAATGTTAGTTCTAGTGACAGTGGTAGGTAGTGCTAGTTAGCATAAGATATCACTATGTTGCATATTTTTATTGCACTAAAACTAGAACTAACACAAGACCTAGAACTAGAATCATTCGGGTTTAGCCGTCTTGAGAGACGTGGGACTAAATCCGAATGTTTATAGTTATCGGTCTAGTGGCAGTGATAGGTAGCGCTAGTTAGCATAAGATAATACTATGTTGTATATTTTTGTTGAAGTAAAACTAGAACGAGGACTAGTAACATTCGGATTTAGTCGTGAAAAAAACTGTCAGTTGTCAATTTTAATATTATATTCGTAATGTTCATAAAATAACCTTTAAAGTGAGTCCAAACTTGACGTATTTATCTCATAAAACCAAAAAGTTCGAACTTCCCACTTTTAATTTTGACATATTTGTCAACTTTATAAAAAATCCTTTAAAATGAGTCCAAACTTGACATATTTAACTTTAATATTAATGGAGATACAATCATTTCCGGTTTGAAACGTCACATCAACTTGACATAAATGTCATCTTTATTAAAAAACCTTTAAAGTGAGATCAAAGATGATGTTCACTTATTTCAAAGAACAAAAAAGTTAGAATAAAAAACATTAAACCCAAAGTTAGCAACAATGAAGATAGCAATTCAATTTTTAAATATTAATACCAACCTTAATTTTTTTTTTTTTTTTTTTATTATATTTTTGTTTTTGTGAGAAATATTAAGACATTTTATAAAAATTAAGAATATGTCAAAGTAACGTTGACATTTCAAACCGGAAGTTGCTTATATCTCTAGTAATATTGGAATTGAACGTATCATGTTTGGACTCATTTTAAAGGATTTTTCACGGCGATTACAAATATTTTAAAATTGATGTTGACATTCTTAACCGGAAGTTGACCATAACTTCATTAATAATAGAGATAAATATGTCGTGTTTGTACTCATTTTAAAGGATTTTTAATGAAGATTGAGGTTGACATTTTAAACGTGAAGTTAGTTATCATATAATAGAAGTTTTATAACTGATGATTCTTGAATTTTTCCCAAGTCTCTTAACATTTCTTTTGCTTTTGTTAACAAAGAGCGTTCTTAAATTTTAACCTGTAAACTTGTAATATTTCGTCCTTAATTTCAGTTTACAACTTTTTAAACTTTAATTTTGTAAATTAACACATCTTGCGCGGGCACTTTAAACATCACAAAAAGCAATCGATAATA